ATTGTTTAAATTATTTTAAGTTAAAAACCAATGAATACCACAAATACTTGAGACGTCTTAACATTCACAACGACTTCGACTCACTATCACTACTATAATGTCAAAGATATCGATAGAAATAAGAAATCATTTTCACATCAAATAATAAATTAATTTTTATCTCTATATTGACGCCAAAAATTGGTATTTTATTTAATTTCCAAAATACAGTATTTATTATTATATTTAATTAGATTTATTCGTATTTTTAAGTCAAGAATAATGAATGAATTTTTGATGTAATAAATGGAGATATGATTGAAATATATTCAGACTTATTGTCTAATAGTCTCACGAATTGATTGAATATATTGTTATTCTTGTGTCGAATCGGTGTCTAAACTCTGCTTCAACTGTTTGGTGCGGACTTCGCCGCCATCACCGGCGCCCACCTCTGCGGTCATGAGTTGTGTGGGAACTGCAGTGATAAGAGTGGACACACCGGTGGCCGAAGTGTTGGTCAGTAGCAGTGAATCGCGTTTCTTCTTAGGACACGTCGTTTTGCCGAAAATCCTCTCCCGATGTCCGACGCCTTTACAGTAACTACACTTCGGAGGACCCGCTCTCTTGCGTTTGGATCCGCTCTCACCCACCGATGAACTCTTGGACTCCTTTTTCTCGACTTTTATCTTCTTATTCTTCGGCGTAAATATACTTTTCCTCTGAAAATAGAGAATTAATGCAAACATAGGATTAAAATACTGAACATTAAGACAAATATAGATCTTATGGTTAAAACATACAGTGTTTGAATCGTTGGCATCGACCCGGATAATGTTGGGACCAATTGAATCCATTTCCGGATCGGCACATATCAACGAATGGTATTTATTTGGCGTGAATTCGCTGATAGTGTCGAACAAATACTTCCGGCGCTCGAAAGGCATGCCTTCGATCTCCAGACATTCGGGTAAATCACCAGAAATTGATTCCAAGTCTTCGTTAGCGATGAGAGCATAGGAAATGGTGTCTGAGTTGACTAACCGGCGACACAACACAAGTCCCGGCACTTCGTTACTGATCTCGAAGTGATTGTTAGCCATAAGTATATTTGCGTCCAAATTGTTGATATGAGAGAACTTGTCGTTCCAGTCGAGGAGTGGGAACTCTATGTCTCCGCTATCATTGCCCACAAGAATAGGTGTTATGGCATTGGATGGACCGCAACAGCGCTCAGCGATTTGGTAGACGTCTTGCAGACTATTTATGTCACAATTGCGGAACTTCTTCTTGAAGACACCCATAAACAGGTCGTTCCAACACCGGGAGTGTCCGCTCGGCATATACGACAGGATTATCTTCTCATTCAGACCTAAATGTGAGCGCAAATCACAAGAATTAGGCAAACATTCCCAGAATATTCTCCATTCGTGTCAAACCTGTCACTGATCTCCACATGAAGTACGAGAGGATGTGATTGTTTTTGCTCTGTTGGACACAATTGTCGCCAAAATGACAGTACGTTTGCGTCTCATTGAGTGCATAGTTAGTGAAGAAATGGTTGATCAATGAGACCGTAATGTCCGGCAATTTGTCTCCATTTCCCACAATAAACTCGGGAATGATATAGAGATAGAACTTCTCTAAGGGTTCGACACAAACGCCAAAAAGTGAGACTTTGTATGAAGAGTGGAAGTATACGGAGGACAGACGGCTGGCGTAGGGCAGGGAGACAGTGGTGTACCAGTCAAACGTGTAGTGCATAGAACTCGGGTACGGCCTGTCCATAGCGGGTACGACACCACCCGATGTGGGCGTCGGTGTCTGGCACTGGAGGAGCGCCTGTTTGCACGCGTCGACCAAAGACTTATAATAAGACAATTCGTGGTGTATTTGCGACAAGTGATGGATATATCGCTCAGTGGACCGCAGTTTTCGGTTCTCATTCAGTGGTTCCGGTTTTGAGATAATATACTGATGTTCACGACATTCACGACAGATCTCATACCTTAAGGCAAACCAAAAGTCAGTCAAATAATTACTTCAAAACCAATTGAATTGACGTTTAATTGTATACTTGTTTTTAGGGACCATTACGTTAGGGCAGAGCCAGTCCCAGAGCGCACCCCATAAGGCAAAGGAGACGCCTTCCCGCTTGAGATCGCGACAGCAAATCATGTACTGATCGTAAATGTATTTCCGCGTCATATTAGCCACGGCTGGCAATAGGAAGAGATCCTTAACGGCACCATCGGGTGCCACATACCGGCCCGCGAGTTGTAGGGCGTGCTGTTCGGCGTAGTTCCTGATGAATACGACGGCATCCCTGCGCTGATGGTTGGCATCGGATTTGATGATCTCTTTGGTCGACTGCGCGCTTTCGTGGGCTTTGGGAGAGATCCCGGAATTGAGGAACTGTTTCATCACATTCTTCACCCGCTTTTCGCCGCATCCGAAGACAAACAGAAAGAATTTGCGACAAACCTCTTGACCCCGGAATCGGAACTGAGTCCTCGCGTTCTTACGGTCTTTCGGCCGGTGCTCTGCAGTCAAGGGGACAGACATACAGACATCACATCAATATAAGTCTTAATTAGGAGTTAAATAACTTTTAAATACAATACAAGACATAAGCAAATAGTAGACAAGAATTCAATAGGAATTCAAAGTTTGTAATTAGAGTTATGACTGAATTTGGCGACAATTGTGTGAAATATATGGCAAACCCTTAGCGATAGTCGTCGGATGGTTTTGAACCAATGAGTTCATGGCTCCAAGAAGTAGCAAATGTTGGTGATTGATGTGATCCGGACAGTACTGGTCGGCGTCCAACGCATCCAAATGGGCCTCAAATGCCATGAATTTGGGGAACCGTTCGTTGCATTTGCGATGACATCCACAGCCCTCTCGGAAGTACTCGTCAAACACCTGACCCGACATTTTCAGGTCATTTGGGATGTCATCNCAAACGAGTAATGAATTAATGAACAATTGGTTTACGGATGCGTTTCACTGATCTCTTGTGGCACTGGTTTTGGACTCAACTTTGTTGACGACAGCAATCACTTCGCAGAAATCGTCGGAAAGTCTTTTCGCGCACTTCTTATCACTACTTTTACCACTCTTTGCGCCCTTTGGCGACACGTTCTCCACATTGAATATACCTCTTCGGATGCACTCAGGAGTGGTGGGGAAGTGAGTCTCCCAGAAGTGTTCCGGACTTTTGGGCGGCGAGTGTTGGCTCCGGTGTCGCGAACAGGCCTTCAGGCGCTCCTTCAAACCCTCTTCGCTCAGATTACGGGTCTTATAGTAGTCCTCGCATTCCTGTCCATCCATACAAACACACCATTCAATCAGTCAATTGATACACAAAACAAATGCCAATCAAATCAATAGTTTACTAAACAATTCACACAATCTTTACCACCGATTGTAACACATATTCACTACAAATGCTATTCATTTGGACACTAATCTCAAACATTATTGATATACGAGTGGACAGGGAGTATAGGGACTGTTAGTAAACTATCTGCGAGTTGATTATAACCGGATTAGACACAGACTTTACACGTGAATCCATTGAGTTGTTTGCGTTGACTCTTGCCCCTCACCACCGGACCCAATGTCTTAACCTTGAGCTTCACCGGCGATGTCGACCTCCTGGTGGCCAACGATTGCTTCTGACTGCCACTCGCTTTGCGCTCATTTGTGTCCACTTTAGACATCGCCGTTGACATCAACTGTGGCCACAATTGTCTGCAAACGATACACACAAACAGTCAATCAATTGGTCGTCAAATAAATGCTATATTTGTGTCAAAAATACTTTCAAATCAAATGAAACGACAAATGACTGCAAAATAACTGTTAAACAAATCGATTCAATGTTTACTTCACTAACAAAAGCCATCCTATGATTTGCACACAAATAATGTCTAATAATCACAAAAAGGGGACAAATATTTCAACACAAAAATCCACTGAAATACAAATAAAATGGATTACTTTATACATCAATACGTTATTCATTGACTCCATATTAACTCAATTCATAAAATGCGCCCAAAATTTAATGAAAACTTACATACAGTTAACACCCGCTATAGTATCGCATAATTACACCAACTTTACAGTATATATTAATAAATCAATTACTAAACTATTAATTAAAACAATTAAACCACAACTAAATCCCAACCATAAAACTAAGACACAATACACACCATCACTACAACACAGGGATCGCTTAACTGATCCGCACGTGTCATACAGTACTGAGCTATACGTCAGCCTTATGTGAGTCTCACAGACAGACAGACAGTGAATGTGAGGCCAACTCAGCGCTCATTGAAGTCATCCACACATCGCTTGTTATTGACCACCGATTGCTGATAATATCACCGCCAGAGTCACCCGCAAGTCATGTCCAACGCTGATAACGGCACCGCCGATGGCGACGTGCCTCCCGAAGAGGTAAAAGTGGACAAATGGGACGGAAATGCTGTGAAGAACTCGTTGGACGACGCCGTGAAGAAGGTGTTGACGGACTCGGACCGCAAACTGGGATACACTGAGAACCACGTGTTGGTCGACACCCGGCTCGGCATCTGCCTGACGGCGGTGGGCGCCGCCATGTTTGCGCTCGTCTGGGATTACCTCAACCCCTTCCCACTCTCCAAACCGGTGCTCATCCTGTGTGTCGTCTCGTACTTCATACTCATGTCTATTCTCACCGTTTATACCACTTTTGTCGAGAAGGGTATCTTCTTGAGGGCCACCCAGTCCGACCCCACCGGCGTCGACAAGCCTAAGGTATGACATACCTGTCCGTCTGTCTGTCCCATAACCTCGTGGTTGTCACCACTTTTTATGCTGACATGCGTTTGGATTGGAAATTAGTTTTTGATTATACTTTGCGTTAGTTTTAGTGGTTTTTCATTTAGTTATACAACTATTTTATTTAACTCTCATTTGAGTGCAATTTTTAGATCATTTCATTGAATAGTTTTGTGTTATTTTTATTCAATGGTTTACTAGTGGTTGATAGAAACACACGTTTATTTGCATTCAATTCAATGCCATTTACTTACTATTCATACAGTTATTACAAATTAATTGTAAAACAATATTTATAATCCTATTTAAAGTCATAGTTTATAATGAGATTAAAATTAGTTTTATAACACATTTACTGAACGCTCAAAAGTATAGCTATTTTAAGGTCAGTGTATAAAACATGAATAGTGTGTCTAATGGGCTAACGTAAGGGTCTGTATGAGTGAGAGGGTATGAGTTCGCGTCCACTAGTGGCGCAAAAAGACAATGAAAGTGATGATAAAATATTTCCAAAACATTCGCGGTTTCCACCGGAGGTTTACAGCCAATGATGGTTAGCCTGTGAAAACGTCTGATTCATTGTCTTAATAATAATAAGTTATTATTATTGATTCATTTGTTTTACAATTACTTTCAATTGATTTGAATGAAAAACCAAAACTTGTTGTCTTTTGTGGTAAAAGTTTTTTTTTACTTTTTTTGCTTAACTTTTGTT